TTAAGGGTGCGGCAGTAGTACAGTATATCAATGCTGGCTTCAATGCTGCTATTAAGCACTTAGCACAACATTTATAGGAAACTTTACGATATCAAATGGCTATCGTACTTGAACTTAGCGCGCTAAATAACTCCAGCCAGCCACTTAGAATTTCATACCGTGCCGTGACCTTACCATAATGGCTAGAGATAGGGATCCGTTTGTAAGTAAAAATCTAAGTTTTATTTCTTCCGAGATTAGGCTTTAGAAAAAAATTAAGGGATTTGAGATGTTTATAATGATTACGTAAAGTATTGCAATTTTTACTTACCCAAAGCCATGAGGGTCAAATTAGATACTGTATCGTTCCATATACGAACATGTACTATCATTGGATCAAGTCCTGGTCGTTTCACAATGATTTTCCGTTCCATACTAAATAAATTTCAAAACCTTATTAATAGCTTTAAGATTTAAACATTAGTCCTTACCTTGTGATCACTTCAATACTGCTCATAAAGCGGTCGGCAACTATGGAAACTCCCAAGAAGCAATATGCTATCACGAAGAAATAGATAATTCCTCGCATGACTTTATCCCCAGCGGATAGATCCACAAATGGTCGCCTTAAAGGATAGGATTACTGTAATTTGTGAGTTCATGTCATATTTTATTCAATATTAAGTTGTTTATTGTGTTATTTATTTAATATGTCCTTTGTTTTGTATACTATTCTAATTTTAAGGTTCTTTGGATTGTTCTTCGGATTTTTCTTGGAAGTTCAAGATTTATGTGCATAGCTTCCATGTGTTCCTCATTCATTCATTGCAGCTTTGATCGTGCGCCAATTTGATAAATGGCGCCGCTGGTTCGCGTACGAAATAAATTTCATCGACTGATGGTTTTTTGCCTAATTTCCTCTCCCACTCATCTCTTGAGAGCAAGACAGTTAGCCTTCAAAAATATAATACAAAAACAGCGAAGGGATGACTTTATTGACATTAAATTTATGCGTGGGAGATCTTTAGAGGATCAGATCAGAGCAGAATGGATCTTTTTAAATGGGTCAATAATTTCTTAGGTGATTTTACACTAAATTCAGCGATAAAAGAGGGTAAACTAAGCTAAAGTTAGTGTAATTTGAACATTATTATAAAAAAATTTAAGGTAAAACATAAAGGTCCCCCAGAAACTCTATTTCTATCCAAAAGAAACAGGCCCAAATCCACCTCCAATCAATCATTTACCCAACCCTAACATACCAAATTGGCACAATTAGACCATCGATACAGTTTCTGGTTGAATCGGCAGCCGAACAATTGGT